AGCTTTAAATGTGCGTATGCTGCAAGCCTTACAGTTATGAACGTCAACAGGTGTTTCACACTCAATTCTTCCATCAAAAGTTGCGTAGCGGTCCGGCATTCATACGTCATAGCTATTAAAGCCGTTATAAATAACACCCGCAGGGACGCCCTTGTCAGATAGTAAACTGGTAGCGATGCTATCACGGAAAGCAGAGACCGTTGTCCTCCAAAGACGCATGACTTCTGAAAATAAACTTGGCACTCTGGTAAAATACTTGATATCCTCAACTACAGGATCTTCGCGAGCGCGTATCAGCCCGTATCACAACTACTGCACATTTCACATAGGTACGCGATCCGCAGCGATTCTGAGAAATGGGTTTTCATACATTTACAATTTAGGCGCTCCACTTATCGACATAACTCATGAAGGCGAGAAGGTCTAAATCATACAGCTACCTCTCAATACAGCCCTCGCCTTCAACATAGCTGAATAGAACAAATAGTTCAGACTCAAAACGCGGTTTATAATGAGACACAGCAAACTCCCTTTCCGCACGACCTAGTGTTTCAGCGTACTCGTCTCCTTGGAATCCTGCTGGAATGGTCGCAAACTGCGAACGAAACGTGATCACTCGACAGGGTACCTCGGAACCCCACCAAGTCTTTGAGGCCCACTCATCTATCGCACAAGCGAACAGTAGTAGATGAGAAACTTAGACTACGTAAGTAGACTCAGACGTAAGTAGATTCACGGGGTCATCTCACCGGATCAATTAGGTGGTGGACTGATCGCGCTAATGGTTTTGGTTGGAACACTAACCTTATATAGGGCTTACCTTCCGCATGGTTGAAAGGCCTTCTTGCTGTTCGCTTTCTAGCCTATGGACTGCGACAAAACCTTAGCGGGACTTCACAATAGAAATGTTAGGCACAAACTGGTGATTCAACAGTTATTTGTGTTCGTTATAAATAGCTCTACTCATGGTCAGTATACATGCGCGCGTAAAACTTTGAAACTTCAACATGATGACCACCTATCAGATAATTGCGCATGCGAGCAAAACAAATAATATCGCAGGGCCATAGTATTAATCCTGGATGCCCGATCACGCAGATCCCCATTCTGTGGCTGCTATACGTAGAATCGTCGCTCGTACTGAGCATGACAAAAAAGACAGAAAAGACCAGAGCCCCAATAAAGGGAAGTTCTGAAAAGTAGTGAATACCTGATGATATGAGTCGAAAGCAGCATAATGTCCAACTAATTCAAGTGCCGATGACGATAACTGCAAGTTGTTAGCATCCTTTTCCTCACATCGAATAGCATGACCAAGAAGTAACAAAATACGGAAGCTAGTCCCTGGCTCCTCCATAAGCATCTGTAAGGTAAAATGTCATAGTAATTACAGATGGGAGAGCATAAAGTGAGCCCGAAGAAAACATACCTTCCACGTTCGCGGGTCTCTGCTAAGACAGCTGCACATTTTCATAGCAGTATCAACGAACTGCTCAACAGTAACGAGGTCTTGCTCGCTTGTTTTTGACGGCTCTAACGATAAAGACCGCAGAGCAGATATGGAGACCTTCAGAAGTAGGCCACAAAAAGCCGATGCAATCGTACCTCTGAAGCGAGAATACTCAAATCAAAGCATAATATATGGTGCTATTCAGCTTGAAAGGGGCATTTGGGGCATTTCACACTTTCGATTGTTTCTCTTGTTTGATGGTGTTAATTAACAGGTTACACCTTGGTGAGACCTGTAATCCCCTAGGAAACTGCGAAATGATAAAAAGGAGTCCCTTCGACTGCAGATATTTACAGATCTTCAAAAAAAAGCCTGAACTAGCCTCGCTAAGTACCATGTGGTGCACCCACTAGGCCAACCGTACTTGAAATAGTTACCAATGGTCAGACAATACTTACGTGTCTTCACTAGAAACACCAGCAAACTCAAGATGAAGCATATTGAGTCTTGTGAACAACGACAATGGTACTGAAGGGTCCACAGCTGTTTCAAGAACTTGTGGAAGCCGACAGGCGAGCAAATAACTGCAAATAACCACGATCGTCAATAGAGGGAATATCTAACTAGTGATAAGACGTTTGCCTTATTCAAAATCAAACCAAAAATGCTCCACTATCATGACTTAACGCATCACAAAATTGAATATGAAAGCTAATACCTCGCAATCATACTAATTCGAACTTCCAGTTCATGAGCATCCACGCCGGAAGACTGCCAGCCAGTTGCGTTTCGAGCGCATCTAACGGTAGCCAGTAAAACATCCAGCGAACACAACAACTCCGAGTCATGTTCAGGTCTCTGGAATCAATAATGAGCTGTTCAAGGTCATACAGTTTCCAAAAACATGTTAGTTACAGACCTACAGGACAGTTGAAACAAATGGGTTGAGTCAAGCAATGAACACAAGAAAAAAATGTTAAAACCGTCCCACAAGAAAGTATTAGGTTGGCGGGAAAGTTCTGTCACTTTTTCGAACTCAAATTTGTCCATTACCTGAAGAGGGGTGAACGGTAATGTGAGCACTTATACATCAAAGAGTGGTCTTTCTATTAGTACCACTCGCTTGATTCCTGCTTCTTCTTCTTCTGCAATATGGACAAGAATGTTATCCGCTACCATCGCCACCGACCCCTCCAAATGCTTCTGATAGTGCAGCGCACTTCCAAAAAAGTTCTAGCCGTTCCTCATGCAATAGAGCTGGATGGCTCTCCCCTTGCAGTGGTGTAGCACAGACATTGCTCCTTCTAACTGCGAGTTGCCTCCCGTAATCAATCATTACTGGACGAGAAATTACGAGAAAACCTCGAAAAGTCTGAGTTCAAGCCAAGATTGAGATGATGTCCAACTTTGTATCGCGCCTCCCTGCATTGTGAAGCGATGGCATCCATGAGGTGCTCAAAAACAGGCAAGGACCCCGCAGTAACATTGCTGTACAATTTTGATCTTACACGCCTCTCTATAAAAAGAAAGCCCAACAACCCAATAGTTCCTAAAGTATTTTAGAAATGTTGTGAATTGTTTATAACACGGGGCAAGTATTGAATCACTCCGAAGCATTTTCCCAAGGTCATCCATAGGATCACTGTTGAACGAAAACAGCAATTCGTTCGCTGTCAAAGAAGACAATGTGGTGTTCCACACGATGTATTAATGAGGGTGTTCCACGTGATGTAGTAACTCCGGGAAATCTGGACGCGTATTCTCCCTATTCCAGAACGCATAGTGAGCCAAGGGAACAAAGATCACCCGTGGCGGTGAGCTTTGATGTTCAAAAGAAAATACGAGCCAATGACACTATTCATGCGTGGACGACCGTTATTCATGTCTATGGAGTGACAAATTGGACAGGAACTGAGCGCTGCTAAAACCAGTTAGTGGTGTGACCGTGCCCACCCCTATGATCCATGAGTCTCGGATGCTAACAACACACTGCCTTTATTAGTAAAACCTGGTAAACCGAAAATCACGAGATCAGCGCTGTGTGGCCCGGGAGGGATCAGTCTGGAGCGTTGCGTCAACGCTACAGTATACCAGCCTGCAATTTTCAGAATCGTTGTCGCGCAAGTGAACTAGCTAATGTCTGCAAAAAAGCGACATATGTCCAGCGACTCGTCTAGGCCAATGTTCACTCTCCCCTCGAAATCGCACGCCGTTATACAGGCAACTCCGCGCAGCCACAAACTGCGAACCCGCCCCTCCCGAGGCGACTGGTGAATTCAACACCCACAAGGACAATCAAACGAAAAACGTTTAGAAGAGTATACTGGAGACTCACCTTCAACAGCAGAACAATATTATCCATGAGCTCCACAAGGAGAGATGTAAATAGAACGGTTCGACAAAGGAACGGAACAGAGCAAAGTCTGCATACGAATGTAGATAACTTGAGTAGTAACCTGAACTACGATATTATGGAGTCAAATGAATGAAATCCCATACACTGATGAAGGTAACGTATGGCTCTTTGCGAACGATGTGGTGTGTCACCGCTGCTGCGTTTGGCGAGCCGCCAAATCCATTCCCAGCAGTTGTTCATGCGAGTAAGTAGCAACAAGGTGAAAATGACTGACACGAACGATATGATGATTCTGTCAAATGCCGAAAGAAATAGAAACCAGTTGGCGCCGCGCCAAACGCAGCCCCGCGGACACTCATCGTAGGCGCGAACCAGACTATAAAGTAGTCTAAATAAA